CAATTGTTGTGAGATATGTACTTCCTGGCATAGAAATGAAAACGCAAAGAACACAAGCAAACACAGATCATTTACGTGGTTCGATCCAACTGGATCTACGTCCACGGGAGGAAATCAATCAAATATTTCACTAAGGCAAAAGAAATGAAGAATACATAGCTTATACATAGAGATGAGCCCTCATTTTCCTTCTATGGCCTCCCTCTCATGCGAGACCTTGATACAATGCCTCAAGGTGCTCTCCTCCTCTCTAGCTCTCTAGTTATTCTCTCCTCCTTCATGGTAGCTTAAGCTCTCTTCCCTTGCTCTTCTAAGCCTCACACCCTATCTATTTATAGAAGCAAGAGAGTGGTAGTAGGTGAGCAGTAGGTGAGCGGTACCACATTACAAAAGTGTCTTTTTACCTTAGTTCAATAATTGGGGGTCAATATAACACGAGTTGATGGAGATAGAGAGAGAGAGGTAGAAAAGGAATACCCACAAATGGAGAGGGAAAGCGAGAGAGATGAAACTATAAAGCTAAGTTCACATAATCATATTCATTTCGGACCAGATTTAGCTTATCCTCATTCAAGGTTATATTTGAATGGTATAGTTTACGACAACCTGAAACTAACAATGGAAAAAATCAATATAAATGCCAAATATATGACTAATTATCATACCTTAGAAAAACGGCCCCAATTGAATTAAAAAAGTATTGATTACACAGATTATCAGTTTCATATTAATTTTTAAAACAAAATCCTTATCATGCAATTAATATTATAAGAATGCATTGCCTTTTTTAATCAAATTTTCTTCTTATTGGATCAATTATTTTGCATTCTTCTTTTAATTTATCAGGACTGACCGACCTGATTTTTTCCTCCGAAAGTATCACTTTAGGTAGGGTAATTGAATTATAGCAAAGAATTTTTTTCACTTTGCTATAAAAAGTATGTGTTATTATGTGAGGTCTGATTGTGTTAATCAATTGTTCACTCTAAGCTCTTAGTTTTACCTATTAAGCTTAACGGTGAGTTTCTCATGGGATTCGGGGTCTTTTCTTCTGTATTGGGTTCGAGAGTGTTGCCCACGAAAAGTTTTTCTCCATACCCGGCATCCCAATGGCCAGACAACAATATTGCAATGCACGGTCCAAGTTTCAGTACTTACAAGCACGAGAGTGTCGAGACCAGCAACGCCCAGTCTAGATCCAGAAATCAAGCGTGTGACATTGCAACACTTTTGATGCAAGGCCTTAGCTTCCATTGAAGCGCCGCAACGCCATTTCAAAGCACCCTATAACGGAAATTAAGTAGTCCTTCGATAAAATTTTTAGTTTTTGTTAATAAGAGGGTATGCAATCTTTTATTTCCCCGGTTTAAGGAGAGGAGAAAAGCATTCTGAACTGTTTCAAAGTTTGGAGAGTTTGGAGTATGGTGTAATTTCTATAATGAGACATTAAATCTTTTGGTACGATGTGGTTCATGCCTTTTTCCTGTTCTTTAGTCTTTCCATATTAAACATTAAATTCTTTGTATTTTCTGTGCTTTTTCCTAGCGTTTTTTAGTTTATGTATTTCTATTCAAAATTTTATTTCGCATCTCTCACAACAGTTCATTATTCTGTTTATGCTACAGATAACTCTCGAGTATATCTATTTAGCAATTGGCTCAGGAGTGGCATCTTTTCTCCGTAAGTGAAATTACCATGTAATCACCTAATGGTATTTCTATGCATATATAGCTTATTACATGTGTTTTTATTTTCACCAGAGGTGGCATGCTGGATGGCTACTGGTGAGAGACAAGCAGCAAGAATAAGGAACTTGTACCTCAAAACTATATTAAGACAAGAAATAGCCTTCTTTGACAAGGAAATCAACACAGGAGAAGTTGTTGAAAGAATGTCAGGCGATACTGTTCTAATACAAGATGCCATGGGTGAGAAGGTACGTACAAATTAATATCAATACTCATCCATTTATAAACATAAAGTTTCAAGCTGCTGATACCAGGTGTTTTTCCTTTCTGAAATGTATATCAGGTCGGTAAATGCATTCAGCTAATGTCAACATTTTTTGGGAGTTTTATAGTAGCGTTTGTGCAAGGATGGCTTCTATCCCTCATGATGCTCTCTATAATTCCACTCTACATGATTTCTGGTGGAATAATGTCTACATTTCTATCAAAGATGGCATCGAAGGGCCAGACTGCCTATGGTGAAGCAGCAGTGGTCGTAGAGCAATCAATTGACTTAATCAGAACCGTAAGTAATGCACTCTTTACAAACATGTATGATAAATAAATATTTCAATGAACAAATACAACACTTGCAGTAATATTTACAGCTGTGTTCACTTTCAGGTAGCATCTTTCACTGGGGAGAAGCTTTCAGTGACGAAATACAGTAATGCACTAAGAAATGCCTATGCTTCCTGTGTTCGTGCAGGACTGGCTGCTGGACTGGGCATTGGCTCTCTTGTTCTCCTCATGTTCTGCGGGTACTCATGGGGTGTATGGAATGGGGCAAAGCTAATTTTAGACAAAAACAAAGGGTACACTGGTGCGAACGTCATTAACATTGTTTTTGCAATCCTGACTGGTTCCGCGTAAGTTTCTAGCATCTCAATGGCTACTCATTTATAAGTGTGTGTGTGTGTGAAAATATCAGAGAAATCAGCATGGTATACTGATGTTAATGGTGCAATCATATTGGTCCAGTTCTCTAGGTGAGGCATCTCCATGCTTTTCAGCATTGGCAGCAGGACAAGTTGCAGCATACAAAATTTTTAAAACGATCGACAGAAAACCAGAGATTGATGCTTATGATACAACTGGTAAGAAATTGAATGACATTCGAGGAGATATTGAATTCAGAGATATACATTTCAGCTACCCTGCAAGACCAGATGAACAGATATTTAGAGGATTCTCACTTTTAATTGAGAGCGGCACAACTGTAGCACTAGTTGGAGAGAGCGGGAGTGGCAAGTCCACAGTGATTAGCTTAATTGAAAGGTTTTACGACCCGCAAGCTGGTGAGGTTCTTATTGATGGAATAAATATTAAGGAGTTCCAGCTTATGTGGCTCAGGGGTAACATTGGGCTAGTGAGCCAGGAGCCTGTTCTTTTTGCCTCCAGTATTCAAGATAACATCTCTTACGGCAAGGATGATGCAACAACTGAAGAGATTAGACTTGCCGTTGAACTAGCTAATGCTTCAAAATTCATTGGCATGATGCCCGAGGTTGATCTTCACCTTCCAATACTATTATGTTGTTGTTTTAAATACACGAACGTCTAAATTCTTGAACTGGTGATCTACAGGGACTGGATACCATGGTCGGAGAGCATGGAATTCAACTATCTGGGGGCCAGAAACAAAGAATTGCGATTGCTCGAGCTATTCTAAAGAATCCAAAAATATTATTGCTTGATGAAGCAACTAGTGCTCTTGATGCAAAATCTGAAAGAATTGTACAGGAAGCATTGGATAAAGTCATGAAGAACCGTACGACTGTTGTAGTTGCTCATCGTTTGAGCACAGTGAGAAATGCGGAATCTATTGCTGTTATGTGTCGGGTTCCATTGTTGAAAAAGGTATAAATCCTGCCGGAGATACAGTCAGTAGATATTTACCAAATGTTGCTCGCTTTTAATAGTTTAGAAGCAGAGAACTACGTGTGGCTTTTGAGTATAATAAAATGTTATTTGTCTTGACTAGGTTCGCATGAGGAGCTTGTAAAGGATCCAAATGGCGCTTATAGCCAGCTTATTCGTATGCAGCAAATGAGAGAAAACTCCAATCTATTAACTCAACCTGCTAATGGCAAAGCAAAGTCTTACTCTGCTGATGGATCCAGCCGTTCTCGTCATCACTCCATTAGCGGACAATTTTCTTCAGGGCACAGCAGTCAATCCTACTCATTCTCCAGGGGACTGGGACTCTCTATTGAAAGTGCATCAGGGCACCAAAACGAACAGCAGAATCCAGAAAAACGAAAGGAAGTTCCTCTCAGTCGCCTTGCCAGCTTAAACAAGCCAGAGATCCCACTATTGCTGCTTGGTTCGTTATTTGCAATAGTTAGTGGGCTTGTCTTTCCAATTTTTGGATTATTACTATCCAGTGTTATAAAAAGTTTGTATCAACCTCCAAATAAGCTCATGAAGGAGACTGAATTTTGGTCCCTAATATTCCTATTATTCGGAATCATTTCTATGGTGGCAATTGCAGCAAGTTCATACTTCTTTGGAGTTGCTGGATCCAGATTGATAAGAAGGATTAGATTGATGACATTTGAAAAGATTGTTAACATGGAGATAGCATGGTTTGATGATCCTGAGAACTCCACCGGAGCAATTGGTGCAAGATTGTCATCAGATGCAGCTACGGTTAGAAGTCTGGTTGGAGATGCCCTCTCACTGATTGTTAAGAATATCACCACCATAATTGCTGGTTTGGCAATTGCTTTTAATGCCAATTGGCAACTCTCTCTTATCTTTTTGGCAATGATACCCCTCCTTGGTCTCACTGGATTTATCCAAATGAAGTCCATGAAGGGATTTAAAAATGAAGCAAAGGTGTGTCTCTATAGATTAGCATAAATTATTTATTTACATGTATGCAACATATTCGTACTGCAAACTTAACAATGAGTTTATGTGTGTGCTCGTGTATATTTTGTATATCTTAAAATTGCTGCATATCAAGTATGAGGGAGCAAGCCAAGTTTCTAATGAAGCCGTGGGAAACATAAGGACAGTTGCTTCATACTCTGCTGAAGGGAAGTTCATGGAACTGTACAAGAAAAAGTGTGAAGGGCCTATGAGAACAGGGATAAAAAAAGGAGTCATTAGTGGAATTGGATTTGGTGTTTCCAGTTCTTTGATCTTTTGTGTTTGTGCAACTAATTTTTTCGCTGCTTCAATCCTTCTTGATGATGGGAAGATAACATTTGACCAAGTGTTTATGGTATGTATGACTTCCAATTAAAAATATTAAAGCAGTATCTCATTTACATTCTTTTCTCAATACTGCCTTAATATATTAGGATTTATGTGAGAAAGATGCAGCAGCGCCATTGCAGCAGCGCCACGCAAGGATGATTTATTTGAATAGTAATATTTTCAAGTATGTGATGTGGATCAGAATTCATATCAGAAAATAAAAAATGAAATGTGTGTATATTGTCCATCTTCCAGCGAACATTTAAGAATTCTCTACTAGAACTAGAAGAGAAATGAAGAGAAATCTGGAAGATGCTATTGTGTATTCTCTCTAGCATTTTTTTGCTATTAATTTGTGTGCGCTAACTACATGCTTCAATATGCCAGGTATTCTTTGCCATAACATTGGCAGCCTTAGGAATTTCACAGTCAAGCAACCTAGTACCAGATTCTGGCAAGGCCAAGGCTGCAGCTACTTCTGTGTTTGCAGTTTTAGACCTCAAATCTAAAATTGACCCAAGTGAAAATTCTGGTGTGACTGCTGAAAAACTCAAAGGCCATATTATTTTCACTCATGTAAATTTCAGTTATCCCACAAGACCTGATGTTAAGATCTTTAAGGATTTATGCTTGTCTATTCAATCCGAAAAGGTAATTTTTTCTTTTCATAAGCCCCAAAGATGCTTGAATCGCCAAGCAATTATGAAGTTCTAACGGCTTCTCTTCTGCTGACAGACCTTAGCATTGGTGGGAGAGAGTGGATGTGGAAAATCAACAGCAATTGCACTATTGCAAAGATTTTATGACCCTAAGTCTGGCCATATACTTTTAGATGGAATTGAGCTTAAAAAGTATAATCTAAGGTGGTTGAGGCAGCAGATGGGTTTGGTGAGTCAAGAACCAGCAATGTTTAATGATACAGTTAGATCAAACATTTCATATGGGAAGGAAAAAGAAGCTACAGAAGTTGAGATACTTGCTGCTGCCAAGACAGCAAACGCTCATGAGTTCATTTGTAATTTACAGAAGGTTAGTTATTCATTCACCTATTCTGATCATATAGCCCTACTTCTTCTAAAGCATATCATTTATCAGCATGTGCTTAATAATGATTAGTCAGTCAAAAAAATTTTCAGTTTTTTAACACTAGCACTATCTAAATAATTCTGGTAAACTTCTACAATGAGGGAATTGATGCACAAATTATATCGAACACTTATCTATATTGGTAACTTTCATGTAGGGTTATGAAACCGTTGTGGGAGAGCGAGGAATCCAGCTATCTGGTGGTCAGAAACAAAGGGTAGCAATAGCTCGTGCTATAGTGAAAGATCCAAAGATTTTGCTCCTGGATGAGGCTACTAGTGCACTTGATGCAGAATCTGAAAGAATTGTTCAGGATGCGTTGGACCGAGTGGTGGTCAGTCGGACAACTGTGGTGATTGCTCATCGACTCACTACAATTATGAACGCTGATCTCATTGCTGTTGTTAAAAATGGGGTAATCATAGAGAAAGGAAAACATGATGAGCTGATTTGTTTAAAGGATGGAGCTTATGCTTCTTTGGTAGCTTTATATTCAAGTGCAAACACCTCATAAGTTGTTCTCAGTTTTCTTAATGATTTTGATAAATAAAAAGTTTCACGTCCATTATTTGTCGAATTACCACAAAAAAAATTGGTTATCTGTGTAAAATATTGGCATTGAAGTAACTACTTCTAAGGATAGGGGTGCATTTTCTACGGAAAATTAATTTAGAGCCTTCTATTAATAGGTATCTATATTGTTCCGTGATAGAGTCATAATTGTGGATCAATAGAGTGTGATGTAAACTTTGGATTGATTATGCTCATAAGCAGTCAAATAAGATGTGAATGGGTTGTGAAGAGTTCATCAAGTAGGGAGGATTAAGTGATAGAAACCTTGACAGACCATTTGTTGGATTGCCATTGAGGTTTTTTTGGTGGCTTCTAATTCATTTTTGTTGGCACAAAGCTCTTAGATAACAGAAGGTGATCATGGAAATAGAATGAATCGAATAGAGTTGAAAGCTTTTACTAAAGGTAAGCTTAGATTTATGATAAATAATGTCACTTAAAATGCAGAGAAGATGGATAAAATCATAAAATCATCACCTTTATAGGCATGTGAAGAGGAGAAATTGTTGTGAAAACCCGAGGATTTGTTTTTGGATTGCAAATAGGACATACACAAAGGTAAGAAATTCAATTGCTATGACTAAAGGAAGTGATAGGCAATAGATAGGATTCTTAGCCCTGAAAACAAAATTTTGAGATTAAGGGGTGTAGTTGTTGTGGACAAGAAAAAGATGATTGACAGTCATCAATGGTAATTTCTTTTAGACACTATTACTGGAATATCTATAAATAGCAGTAATGGGAAGACTAATATAAGAGAACATAGGTTTAAGGACATAATCTATTTATATTTCATCATATCAATGAAAACTATTTTTAGAAATACAAAAAAAATCAAGACTTGTAAGCTACCTCTTGGCCTCTAATATTTATAAATTATTTTAAATAAATAACTTATAACAATCTAATAATTTATTTTTTATATTTGTTATTCCTAACAAAAATAACTTTCTTTTAGAATGAATAAAGTGTGGCAAGCAATCCAAGCACTGCAAAAATCCATGTTGTATAAGTGGAGAGACATTTGCTTGCAAAAAGCCACCCCTCAATGATCAAGTTCCAAAGAATTTCCTTAATTATCACTTCGTGTTTTTTTGAGAACTCGATTGGTAAATTCTTCATTCAATGCTAGAATAAGATTTGAAAATCCTCAGTTACATTTATTTTTACTATATATGAAAAAAATAGTGCACATAAGGCTCTAAATTGATTTCATGCATCATTACTCAAGCTATGTATAATTTTAAACTAGCCAATGCTTATCATGATTACTAGTCAATCAATAAATTTAAATAATCTGACTTATGAATTAAACCATTCATTGCTAATCATTGATCTACTCTGCCATGATGCAGTTGTCAATCACGAATGTATACGTGTAGAAGAAGTAGTATACAAATTATGGCTTTGTGTTTATATTGATTGCACAAAGATTGAGTTAACTTTAATAATTATGATTTTCCAGTTTACTAATCTTGAGTTTAGTTTGAAATGTTGGATTTCTTTATGGATTTCTATGTTTCTAATATGGTTAATGGCTAATCTAACTAAGTCTTTGGGTTATCTGTAAAGAGATATAATTTTTTGAATTGGATTGTGTGATTCATCAATGTTCTTTCAGTGAATTTCCCTTCTCTAATATTGACAATTGCATACAATTAATGCTTACTATATTCTTAAACATTAAAAATGTTAGAGCATAATACTATCGTTAAATTGGTTTAAACCAAAAAAGTGTTCCTTGAATTCTAAAGTCTCATGTATTATTGCAATTTCCTAATGACAAAATTTATATTCTACTAAGTTATTGAATGTTAAATTACTAGTTCATATAACCTATGATCAATAGTCTTATATTACAAGAATTTTAAATTTTTCAAGTGTCTAATTCAAAGATAAATTAATTCAAAACGTTAACACACCAAAATGCAATAAATTTTTGAATAATCATAGAGAAATCTCATGGATTGAACACGAAAAGTTATATTACCAATGCAAAGAAGCATAGAAACTTAATTCATAAGTATTCCAAAAGAAACATAAGAGAATTCACTAAAAAATAAGAAAGGAAGGATAAAACTCGGATTCAAACACTTCTCACTCTAAGCCAACTCTCCTTCTAAAAAGTATTATTCCTCTTTATTTCATCTCAATTGTCTTAACACAAAGTAAAACTCACACTCATATGCACGTTCACTACGTGAGAAACTCTATAAGACCATATAAAAACATATACCCTATATACATTGAAGTCCCTCACTTTTAAGTCTTCTCCTTGCTCAAAACATCTCAGAATTGTGGAAATCGTCAAAAGGTAGGCTAGACACCTAGAACTCAAATGGTGGCATTGGATTTCCAAGTTAGGGTGGCTAGGTTCTTAGGCATGGTGTCAGGTTTCAGTTTCCTTTGCCTTTTGCACATGAAGTAGAAATGGATGGGGAACCCACGTGCCTGACCTTGACACCAACTTTCAGTCTTCTCTATTATTTCACCTGAGTACGGATCATCACTAGTGTTTAGCTGTCTAGCACAACATTGAGCTGCTTTAACTATCTTAGCCAAATTTCTCCATATCCTTTTATTCTTCCTATATGATGCATAAAACACAACGAATACACCAGATAAGTATTAAAATAATATATAAAAAGGGAAAAATAATATATAAATGTCACATAAATTTTATACAGTTAAAATTCCCCAAAACCTAAATATTAATTCCCCAAAATTAAATATTAATTGCTCTCAAAAAATTCAATACCTAAAGTTAGACTTTTTGAAAATTCTTGATAAAATGTTTCTTAGAAATGTAGTATTGTTTAATAAAGAAATAAATTAATTAATTAAATTACACAACTATCTTCTTAATATTAAATTTTATTAAAACCCCCTAATATCCCAAAATTACTTATTTTAATAAACTTTTATAAGATTAGCCTTAAATAAGTTATGTTGGTTTGATTAAAATAATATTAATCTTCAATTATATAAAATTTAAATTGTCTTATCGATCAAATAATATTAATTCATTTATTATTCTCTTAAATCCATTATTATGAATTTAGACTAAGGATACTTTTGATTTTTTTAACTTTTAGAAAGGGTGGTTGGTATCAATTTTTTTTTTAATTCAAACTTAATATCAAGCTTCTTCTTTATGGCTCTAAATTTTTATCTTTATAAACTTCTTTCTATTTGTCCTTATTCTTTTGATCATTTTTGTTTCTCTTTTCTTTTACCGAAGGTTGTTATACATGATTAAGCTTTCTATTATGATTTTGAATATCAAATCACTTTTAAGTAAAATTCTCAATTTCTTCATAACTCAATTCAAAAGATTTTAATTTAAGAGATGCAAACTAGAGTTAAATTATTTACTTGTATTAAATATTAAATTTTATATATTTAATGAATAAATTTTATATGTAGACTAATTTAATCTAAGTTTATAAGAATCCTTATATAAAAGAGTGATTAATTCTAATTAGAGGTAAGTTATTTGTGAGTTAAGAATAATTTTAAGTACTTAATGAAGATTAATGAGACTTTTAAATTTTTATTTATTTATTGTTAAATCATATTGCATATTAGTTATATCTACCCATTTCTTAATAGAATTCTATGATTTAGATATTTACCCTTGCTTTAAGCACAATTTTTTTTAAAATCCCTCCCCAAAACTTATTTTACTTTAATCACATGAAATTTTAAATTAGTGGGGGAAATGAAAGATATTGGATTGAACATGAATGTAAACATATGACAGAAAGTAAACACATGATGGTAAATACACACTAAACTAAAACATATATAATAAAAATAGAAGTGTACACTAAATTTGAGTAACATGCTCATTGCATGCAACCACATGGATCATAAGAATCATGGAGAGTAGCTATTGAAGTAAATACCTCATCTCACAAATCCAAGAAAATAAAATTCACATCATAGAAAAAATAGAAGCAAAGAAGTTCATAGCCTATCTCAACAATCTACAAAAATAACAACATAAAGTCTTATCACAATAACAAAAATATGCAGCAGAAGAAATGAAATTAGAATATACCAAAGAGTATGCTTCTTCATTATCAACATCAACATCTCCATCCTCCTCCTTATCATCCTCCTCCATTGGCATAGCTATATCACCATAGAAACAAAAAGGTGGAGCGTCAAAATATGGCTATTGTTTTGCCCTTAGTGCATTTGGTCATGTTAGATCTTCTCTGCTTGAGCAAAATTGCCCTGCACCTTGTAGTTGTGTTGATGTTGGTGCTCATCGATAGTGTAATCTAATCGTTAGCCCATGTCATTCTACCAACACTGAATGATTGTGACATCATCGCTAAGTGTGTCTAACCTCTTAGAAATTGATGTGAAGGAATAAGATGAAGAAGGTTAGGTTCGATAGGGGGCATGTAAGAGATGTCTCTCCTCTCTCAAAGAAAGTCCTCACATAAGTGCCAATAGTCTTCATTATCATGGCTCTATTAGGATTTAACTGCTCCCCTAGAGCTTCATATTTAATTCCCAGCATTCATGCATAAAGTAAAATAACAGAAAGATGCCTAAGGCTCATTGTCATCCCGCCATTTATGATATTTTAGATGGAGAGATTAAAAATACTCTCTATATCAATGGATGTTTCTTCTGTAGATAATAATTCAGAATAACTCTATCCCTAGTAATCTCACTTAAATTAGTATAAAAAAGGAGTTTTGTAGAAATGAAGTAATGTCAAGCCCCTGGCTCAACATTCAAATCAACAAGGAAAAGTTAATAAACTTATTATTATGAATGTGTCAACTACCATAGCAATCAATCAAAAAGGTAATTATTTCAATAAGAATAGAATAATAAAAAAAATCATGCCTCAAGAGGTCTATCCTAGATTTTTTGTTGTTTGTTTGTTATGATCCCGTGAACTGCATTTTGAATTGATGATTATTTTTATTAAAGTTATTACCAATGGGAGATTTTTATTTATGTTAAGTGAAGTCGGTCAATATCTCATTGTTTCGTCATCTCAGCACCACTCTTAGTTTTGAATTTACTTAGTTTAAGGAAGTTGTTAAACTTGGTTAGACCAGAGAACTCTTGTTAGCAACCATGGGCTAACACATCCAAGAAATCCTCGTAAATCCAAAGAGTGAATTTATTTATTTTTTATTATTTTTTATTATTACTATTATATATATATATATATATATATATATATACTCGTCTGTCTGCCTTTTTAAAGACATATCAAAGTCTTAGTTCACTAGAGCTCATAAAATCCCCCAAATCACTCGAGAAAGTGAATGTAGTTCTTAGGAACTCAATTATTATTATTTCCTATTATTAAATTCTAATTTTCTCTTTTCTTATAAATTTTAATCATTTTATAAATTTCTATAGATTGTTGATTGAGAATTTATGTAAAACAATTTTGGGGTATTGATAGAATTATTGTGGGATTTCGATGGAAAAATTGTGAAGTTTTGGTGGAAATTTTGATGGAAGTTTAGTGAAGATTTAGGTGAGTTGCTTGGATGGATATTAAGTGTAATTCTTGTGGAGCTTTGGTTGAAAGTTTATAGTAAATTTGATAGCTATTTAATGGAGTGTTAGATCGTCTGTCTGCCTTTTTAAAGACATATCAAAGTCTTAGTTCACTAGAGCTCATAAAATCCCCCAAATCACTCGAGAAAGTGAATGTAGTTCTTAGGAACTCAATTATTATTATTTCCTATTATTAAATTCTAATTTTCTCTTTTCTTATAAATTTTAATCATTTTATAAATTTCTATAGATTGTTGATTGAGAATTTATGTAAAACAATTTTGGGGTATTGATAGAATTATTGTGGGATTTCGATGGAAAAATTGTGAAGTTTTGGTGGAAATTTTGATGGAAGTTTAGTGAAGATTTAGGTGAGTTGCTTGGATGGATATTAAGTGTAATTCTTGTGGAGCTTTGGTTGAAAGTTTATAGTAAATTTGATAGCTATTTAATGGAGTGTTAGATGAATTGTTTGGATGAATATTTGATGGAGGTTTGGAGAAGATTCTATGCTTGGTATTGGAGGAAATTATGGATTGTTTTGGAGGATTTTTTATGAGGATTTAGTGAGGTTTTAAGTGAGTTAATTTCATGGTTTGATGAATGTTTTAAATAGAGCTCTGAATGAAGGTTTTAGTGAGTTTCGGACGAAGGTTTTGGGGTTTTTGGACGGAGTTTTTGAAGTTTTAGGTGAACATTTTTGTGGATATTTAAGTGGGGTTTGGATACAGATATTTAGTAGAGTTTCGCTAAGGATTTTGGTGGAATTTTCCTAGGAACATTGGTGGATTTTGGCTGGGGATTTTGGTTAGGGTTTTTGCAGAGGTTTAAGGAGGGTTTCATGAAGTTTAGATGAAGGCTTTGGTAGAGTTTTGAGTGGGCTTTGGTTAGTTATTTTCTTTTTTTTTTAGAATATAATATTTAAATTTTGTAGAGTTATATTTTCTTACCTTCTTTTTGGAATGTTACATTTTATGTATTTATTTATTTATTTATTTTTTTTTTTTGCAAATTCACATACAAACCATATATTTCTTATATATTTTAGTAGTTACCATTTAGAAGTCTTTTTTTTATATAAAACTACCCAATTTCATTTTCACATACAAATCATTCAATTTTTTAATATCACATATATATAATACTTAAAACTATATTTTTACGTAAAAAAAGACTTAAAATTTATTTATCAAAGCATAACGCTTTAAAATTTACTTTTACACACATAACATTTAATATTTCTAATATCACATAAATATAACATCTAATACTTTAAAATCATATACATGAAACTTTTAAAATTTTATTTTTCAAATAATTTATTATCCCATAAATAGAACTTAATTTTTTATTATCACATAAACAAAGCCTGCCTTTTTTTATTATCACATAAAATCTTACCACTTAATTTTTAAAAAGAGAAATATATTATGTATATGTTATATGTGAAAATTAACATTTAAGTTGTAAATATGTAATCTCATAAATATTTAAGTGTTCATTATGTAAATGCACATGAATTAAATGATATGTGCAAATTCATTCTCCAAATTATTTATTTATTTGTTTTTTTTATATATTATTTTTTTTAGGATGGCTCTTTACAAATTATTATTATATTTTTTTGTTTTGCTTTAATATAAAAATGTATTAAGCTTATATCCTCTTTCTCTCTTCTTTCCTCTTTTGTTTAAGTTTATGTTGTGCAGACGAGACCTGGGTTTTGGGTGGCAAAACATGTGAACATACGTGTTTTCTACACCATACAAAACCTAAGTTGCTAGAATGTGGATTCCTAAGGTTTGTAAGAATCTAGCACAAAAAGTTATATATAGAAGCATGTAAGTATAGAATTCAAGCAATGATCATATTAGTCTCATATGAATAGGTAACATGCATGCAATCATGGTAAGAGTGGAGCAAGGAGAAAAGTGGTGCACATGTAAAAATTAGAGTTAAGCGTATGATATGTAGATACATAGGAATTAAATGGCATGTATGTGAATTTT